CAAATACATCTGGTTTTCTCAGTCTCACCATGGTGACAGGAGCATCTCAGAACAGTCAGAACAGTGCCTTGCCACCACAYAGACATTTCTGACAAGTTAAAAATCTGTTTCTCTCTTGAAATCTATTTTTAGGTTAAGATAGAAATTACAATGAAAAGGAAGGCCAGCATTCTTTAATCTCTAATTGTTTTATTGTATTTACTCAGCTTTTTCAAAACCTTACCTCTGAGGACAGCCACAGTTTAAGTCTATTCCATCTGCAAAAGGGCAGATGATCCGGGCAGCATCACACAAAACCTGTGCTTCTTTGGCAGCAAACTGAACAATCAATGGATGATCACCTACTCCAATGAAAAGATATTTAGAGATTTAAAAATTCCCAGAAAATAAAAAGAACAAGTTCTAAATTTTGAATGCTTTTTTGTATATTGTACAGCTGTCTCACTATGGTCCTGGCAACCASGTATAGTGACCCTTGATGAGCAGGGTGACTACATAACATGATCTACAGAGGCCCTTCCAAACTCATCTATTTTCTGATTCTGTGAGCCCTAGATCACAAATAAACAAAGGTAGCTGACCAGGGGTTACTGAGTATGTCTATTAACAGAGGTGGGAATTCAGATAAACAGAGCAGTCCTACAAAGTTGCTGGCTTCACATCCACTTTTCCTGGTTGAAACTGGTTGGTAATCTTTCACAAAGATCATCTAAGTATTCTCTAATTTTCAGCAGTCTTCATGCTTCTCCTCCTAGCCTGCTCCTTCTTGATTGCATGCTGCCCCTTTGCTTGCGGACAGGGCTGTTTTTCCTGCCAGGTGGGAAACCTGCTTACAGAACAAACCGTTCAGAAAGGAGCTAAACCACCCACAAGCTTTGCCCTTCCTCACCCCAGCCCATCTTTTTCCTTTTCTGTGCCAACATGGCTGGTTTTTAGCCACAACGTGACACGCAGAGTTGGAATGAGCACACATACACAGAGGCAGCTCTAGCAGCTTTGTCTCAAGTGAGAAACCAAAGTGTCAGTGCTCCTCAGCTTGGGTCTGCTGAACTACTCGTGATTTACTAAGCCCCTGCAGAGAGGCAGATGGTCATTTGGAACATGCTCTCCTCTTTTACAGCTACTGCATTACATTAAAGGCATCTCAAATATCTCGAGCACTCTTAGCACTCACTTTCCACATAAACAATTCCTGTAGTTAAGAAGAATCGTGATATCTGACCACTGATGGAAAGTGATGATCCAACAAATGCACAAAATAAGTGCACTTCTAGTACTGAAAAGACCACAAGTGCTTTCTGAAGAATTTTCTGTCTTAGAGGAAAATAAATAGTTCTTGAAGTGRTGGAGCTTAAGAAAGCCCACTGGTACCCTCTCAATCAAGCAAGCTAAGACACTGCTAGAAGTTACCTAAAAATCTAGCAAGCAAAAAAAGCCACCCATGTTTATTTTCAAAACAGTGTCMATTTAATACAGTTCTCATTTACATTGTTATAGCTAATATTTTAGAAAAAGCCTACAATCCTAGTTTTGCTTTGTTGAGCATTAAGTAATAAAAATACTGCGTCTAGCCACATAAATTTTTTTAGCAGCAGCCACAAAGAACTTCTACCTCTATCTGAGAAATGCACAACCAAGAAACATTAATACAGAAGAAAACGGAAAACTGAAATTGCAAACCTACTCTGCTAATTAGAAGACAAGATCCCTGAACAGCCAGCAAGTTRAACATGAAACCACACAGAAAGTATAAATGCTAATAACATAAATACTATAATCTAGTCAAAGCATGAGGCTGAATGGTTTAGCAGCCTATAAAATTAAGATCAAGATAAAAGAAGTGAGTAGGGAAAACATGTTTTTTACAACACTTAAAACATTTCGTCTCCTCTTCCCCTGTCACAGCACCCCCAAATACACCCCATATCTCTTGAACTTCAAGGCACCAGACTTTGTGTAGATCAGAAATAAATTCAAAGGGGAAAACCAGTAACTGTGAAGCTTTGAGCCATTTATACTTTCAGTTATGTTCTTACTCATTTATTTTTCCATACAATGAGTTATTCATGGTATTTTTGAAGTTGAATTCCACTAGTAAGAGTCTACCTGTGCTTTCCAATGGGCRTTTTCTGTAACTGCTCTGTTCTACTTGCATAATGCACCAAAGTACAAAGTCAATGCTCAAACAGTGAAATACACTTTTCACTGTTACATGTACACCTATGAAACCACAAATTCCGTGGCCTAAATAGACTGAATCCTCATATTTCATAGACCCTCAATGGTGATCTTACTCGCACATTCATTCCCCCAGCTGCAGCCTATGCTCATCCTTGTTAYACTGTTCTGCTGCAGCCACTTCAAGCCAGCAGATCTGTATCGTTCTTGTCACCTCTTCCCACATATTTAGTATCACTTTAYATCCATGACACTGTACAAGGCCTCATACTTCTTTTTATAGGTGTTCTCGTTATGTTTCTGTACCATTCCTGAAGCCTTGCTTCTCCCCATCAACCCCAGTCATATTTAACTTTCAGTCTTTTTGGCACTTTCTTGCTCTCATATCTCAACTTGCCCAACAACAGCCCCTTCCACTTTCCCGTCTGGCTAATATGAAACACTGTTTATTTTATCAGTCCTTGACTCCACTCTATCAATGCCTGATCCATTAATTTTTTCACTTTAGCAACACTCTCATTTTTGCTAGAGACTAAAAAACTTTTCCCAGCAATGAGTTAAATGTTTGTCTCTGAAATACACATGAAACAACTGCTGGAAAAAATATCTTGCTGTCATCCTGTACCYGGTCTTGCTGTGATGGAGTGAATTTTCAAATTAATTTAAAGTTTATTTATAGCAGTCTGTGTGGTGCTGCAGTTTGGATTTTGTGATAAAACCAGTGATGGTAATTCACAATTGTATTGGCTGTTGTGGCAAAGTACATGCAAAATGTCAAAACTTTTTTTTCTCACTGTCCCCCCTACCCCAAGCAAATCACTGGGGTGGGCAAGAAGTTTGTAGTGGACAGAGTTATGACAGCTGACCCAAAGTGGCACAAGGAGCATTCCATTCTGTTTAACATCAAGCCCAGCAAGAAAACTGGAGCAGTAGGGAAAGAAAAAGTAGGTTGGGACATGGAATTTGTGTTCCTGAGTGGCTGCTGCTTGCAGACTGGGTGGGCATTTGATCTGCTAGTAGCAAGTGGTTGTCTTTGCATCACTTACTTGTTTTTTCCCCTCTTTCTTTTGTTACATATTAAGCTGCCTTTATCTTGACCCATGAATTTTTCTTGCATTTGCTCTTTTAATTCTACCCCTGTGCTGCTGGGAGAATGGAGGAGGAATGAGTGAGGAGCTATGTGTGGTCAACCCTGACCAAGGTAAATCACTTTGGAGACAAGGTTTTCCACTATTTCATTTGACYCACTATCACTGCATTGTGCTTACTCTCACCTTGAATACTTCTATGATTTTATAATCAATCTGACAGTATAACAAAATTGTTAATAGGTGGCAAGTTGTGTGCCAGACTTCATTCTTGGTCAATTCAGCTAATGACCATATAAAACATTCTGACAAGGCAATGGTTTATTAGAAGTAATACCTTTGTTTGTTGTGAATTCGCTGTCTCTGGCTTTTGCAGATCTCACAAAATCAGCAGCCACAATCATTGGTGTGTAACACAAATCACAACTGTACTTTCTAACCAAGGTTCTGAAAGCCAACCTACAGACACGTGAAAAAGAAGAGGTAAATAACAAAGTAATTTTTGTCATTAGCCATCCTAAAACGCTGTTCTAACATGCAGTATTGCGGGGRTATTCTTGAATTATATGTGTAGATCTGTGATGACAATATGTAAAATAAAATACGTCCGACATCTACCTCCATCTTAAATAAAAGAGAAGGAAATCACCAATTTTTGCAGTTAAGATAAACTTCCTCAGAGAAAATACACCGTTAAAACAGTTGACATGACAGTTACTTACTTTGAATAGCGGACCATAGGGGCACATATTTTTACAACTTGCCCAGAATGAAACAAATCCATGGGATCTTTTAGTTGGCATTCTTTAGTTTCTCCGATGTCACCAAACATGTGTAATTAATAGTCCTTTCAGCATCTGGAACACAAGCGAAATGTTCGTCATTCAGCTATTTCTCACAGGCTATGCTGTTGAGCATCACAGTTGAGGCAGGACTTGGGTTCTGGTGCAGCGTCCGGCCAGAAGCCGCTCCCACGCAGGGTGCCGGGCACA